GGGTGTAGATTTGCTGTTGATCCCCCAAACTCTTTTATTTTAGTTTTAAAATCCCAAGTCACTTCAGTAACTTTGATCTGTAGCAATAGCCTTATCTATCGTTGCTGTAATTCTGCATGAAGATTACTTTGTTATCTTCGCTGTTTTTATGAACTGCTTTCTTTAGGGTTTATTATGATGGGCTCCCACTAAATATAGCTTATGTGGAATTCTTAGAATCACATATTAATTCTTCTGCAGCAGAAAAAACTTCAACTGCCATAAAAAGAGCTGCCTTAACCTGTTGCTCTGCTGTCCTATCAGTCAATTTTGAAATTGTGAAAAAATGCCTTGTCCCTTCCCAAATACTCTGACATTTAAGTAGGCAGTGACTGTTCATTTTAAAAATTAATTTGAGGGGTAGGAATTTCCTGAATATGATATGGTACTGGAAACCAAATATTTTTTTTTTAATATCATGGTATAGATATCTGTAGATTGATGTGAGAGCAGCAACAACAACAAAGGAAATTTTCAGTGAGATCATTCAGAGGTTTTCTCTCTCAGAAGCTGTTTTATATTTGGACTTCCACTTATGTGATTAGGAATATGTATGACTGCAATATGTTTTCAATGGATCTTAGTATCTTTGTTATCTAGATGTATTTCTATCAGTACAGAAATTTTCTGGAAACTGAAACTATCTTCCAGCTTTCATCTCTGCCCCCATACTACCTGTCTCTTTCTTACTTCTTCCTCTGTACTAAACCTGCCTCTTTGTAGATGTTTGATAGATCACTGGAAAGGAAAGGAATCACTCCTCTTCGGGCAAGCAGTAAAACATAAATACCAAAACCAAACCAAAACATTAACCGCTTAGTGTAAGCCCTTTTCTGTGGTTGAAGCTCTGACTTTGAAGTCATATTTGGTTAGCAACTTGAGGCATACCTGTATCTTATCATAGCGTATCCCCCATTGTATATTACTGCTTACATAATTTCACAAAGACAGGGAATAGTAGTGATCTTTCCCAAAGGCCCCCTTGTTTGAAGTACTGAAAGCTTTTTTTCCCTCTTGGAAAATTCAATAGCCAAGAACCTCACAGTATGTGGGATAACTCCTAGTGATATTATTCTAACACTGAAAGGAAGCAGAGGAGTGGTATGTATTATTTTACTGGCTATCAGAGAAAAGGTTGTCTTTAAAAATATATATGCCTTTTGCATATGCTTTGTGACAGACATACAGCCTGAAGACTGGCATGTGACAAGGGGAAATCAATAAAAAACACATAATGATATTATTAATATTTATAGAATAGCTAGATGAGTATAACATGACAGGGAGAAGTCAAGCAGGCTTTTAGAATAGCAGAACTGTGCTCTAAAATATATTGGAATTTTTCTGGGTGAGTTACAATGGGGTAAAAAGGCATTGCATAGGCTGTCAGGGACATTCACAACACTTTTGATTAAAGTAATTTCTAAGCAACCATGAGAAAAGCTTCATCAAAGAAGTGCAGCTAAATAAAAGTTGGAAAGCAGAGAAGGGAAGAAGTTTTCAGAAGGGATGACGTATTCACAGAGCGTCCCAGTAGAAACCTGTAGGGATTGATGATTGATTGATTTGTAACCTCAGAAATTAGGGAAAGGGTTCTCTGTGTTTCCAGCAGGATTAAAAATGATACAGCTTTATCCAAAGACTAGGAATTTTCCAAGTCTGCTAAAAGACTTTTTTAATTATATTTTTGCATATAACTGCCTATTGATGTAGTTTTGTATCTGTTAATACATACATATGTAGCTTGGGCCTGTAAGACTTCAAGGTTTATAGGCAGCCAATAGAAAAACAAGATGAGAAACAAATTTAGTTCCATAAATGAAAGTAAAATTTTCCTATAGTCATCCTCCTGTCCTGTAGAAATCGGCCTTAGTGCACGGCTAATTCATCTACAGGAGGACTTTGACTGTGGGAATTGGCTCCATTTGTTCTCTGTGTTGATGTAAACATCAAGAATAAACTGGAGTTTTTGTACAGAGAAATTTATTCTTTTCTGCTTGTGCTGCAGATGGTTGAATTTGCTCAGTCTGCAAAAGCTGCAAAAATACATAGGGAAAGAGAAAGTTATACTAAAAATGGAAAAAACTATGCAAAAGACAGCAAAAGAATAGCTTGTTCTGCCTTTATCAAAGGCCTGCAAAAGCTTCTTCAGTGGAGATATCCATGTCTGGGGAAACGTTATTTTTGCTGCTGAATTCTTGCTTAGAGAATCCTCTTTCCCGTTAATCCAAACAGAGCACAATGTCATTAATGGTTGGGTCAGGGTGCTAATTATCTTTGTGAAAAATGGATGGGCAGACAGTCAGGAGATAGATGCTTCCTAATTTGTTAAGGGCTTTTAAAGATAAATGGCCTTGAAGTAGATTTGTTTTCAAATGAATAGCCAGTAGAGTGCTCAGAGCAGTGGCACAGTGAGCTCTCATCAGTTTTTCTCAGAGTGATGAATGTTGCATATTCTGTCTGCTGACGTGGTCTTTGCCTTCAGATGTCCCAATTTATTAACAGTTTTTTAGGGCAATGGTGGTAAATTACTGCAGCTCAATTTTATTACTGTTTTACATCTACCGAGGACTGAGCCCTGTATGCAGCTTTATATTAACTCAGCAAGCACCATTAAAATATTGACATTTAGGCTCATTTTGGTAGCATTAATCGTAGCATTAATCATAGCATTTTATCATGCGTTAATTGCATGAAATGACTGGTTTGAAATAACTGGAATGTTTACTTTTCTTAAAGCAGGAGAAACAATAATTTCCATTTCTCCACTTTTTCGATGTATAACTGTGCTTTAGAAAACTCAAACAAACAACAAACAACCCAAAACTCACAACCTGCCTGCTTCTGATTGTGTGTGTTGGGGGCATCTTCTTCTTAGCTTCCTTGCAACAACTGAACATGTAAGAGCCAGCAGCTCTTACGGGTCTCACTGGAAGCTCTTGGAAGTGTCATCTCTGAAAATCAGCCTCTGAAGTCTCAGTGTGAATACCCACAGACAGGCCTTGGCTTCAAAAATGTACCTCAATGTATATAACAAGAGTACTCCTGATGTGCAAAAAATGCTGAAAATCTACAGCATTTTCATATGTTGATACAGCTTAAGGCACAGAAATGCCTTTTGTTATTCACCAGCAGGAATAACCTTACAGCACCCATGCATATTTGTATTACCCTATCAGTAAAAGAACCTGTGATATTTGCTGGCTCTTTTCAGTGGAGGGCATCACTAGATGATTATGTTTAATATAAGGAGCTGGCAGCCTCTCTCACTTAACAATCATTAGGAGATCTGCTGCGGAGGTCCCATTTTGTGAGGCAGTTGGAAATTGGCACTTAGTTTAGATGTATTGTTTTCTACCTTTCTCCTAAAGTTCAAGGACAAGGCAAAACTGTTCGGACTACACAAAGAAAAAAGTTTTTTCACTTTCCTTTGTTTACTTGCTCCTCTGACCTCTCTGTTTATTCCCTATGAAAATTTATTCCCCACATAAATTTATTCCCCCATATTTACATGAATTAAAAGGAAGTGTGGACCATGTCAGGAAAAATGGAAGTGGAAGGCATGAGGGGAGGTATTTCAAAGCACCATGCAGAAGATAGCTATGATAATCATGTAGACTTTTTGTGGGGTAAAAATTATCTAGGTTGTTATGTTTCTCTTGATACTTATGAAAGAGACAATACTGTTACTTCTGTTCTAGGGAACTGAGGCATAGAATGAGTCAATGGGGAAACCCTAAATCACTCAAAAGGCAAAATGCAGAATAGTGGTATCCCAGTCACTAACCTTCACTTCCTGCTCCTAACCATGCGTTTAATTAATTATTTTAAATACTGCTTCTCCCAGCTCTCACCCCAAGATGTTCCTACGTCTTCAGGACTTTGACCACCTGTTATTTTCCCTGGTTACATCATATGGCTTAAGCCACAGCTTCATCTGTAGCCTTCTGCCTCCTGCTGTACAGGATCTTCTCAAAAGCTTAAAAGACTTTCTAGTGATAGAGGTTTTCTTTTTTCAATTACAGTGGCTTCATATGACCAAATAATACTTCATTAACCTGATTGCCTAAGGATATCAAGCTCCAGAGGAAACTTGTATTCCTGTATGATTGGCAAGATAATTAGGAAGTGAAATAATGCAAATCCCACCACAGGCAGCTGTCAAAAGATTTATGTATTTACTCTTTGAATTCAAAGTGTGTCATATCATAAATCCTTTTTTTCTTTTAAGGCTTTTATATCTGTGGGTTTATTATCGACCTTCACAATGCACATTTTGCTGGGGCAGGAGGCCTTATGAGCTCAATCAAGTTGGGCTGGTAAATCCACCGAGATTTTTAGTCTGCAGTATCACCTAGATAGCACAGGTTCAAGTACACTTTTTCTCTTACTAGCTTTTGATTTGAAGCTCCTGGGTCATGGGCTTTCATTCTGTATTTAGAAAGTATCTACCAGAGTGGAGCTACCAAAATTAGAGCTTTTATGTGATATTAAAACACAGGCACAGAAGCCACTGATGGCTGCAAGAGTTCTTCATTGGCCAGGAGGGTGGAATATTGGATGTAGATTAGAGACATCTTCATATGAAGTCACCTACCGCCTTCCCTGTTAATAGAGGGTAGGGTGAAGCTCATGTCAGTATTCATTGCATTTAGGCAGCAGCAGCAGCAAGTGGGAGATTAAATGAGAGAGCTGTATAGATATGGGGTCCTGTTGAGGGTGGCCTTCAGTAAGTAAAAGTCACTTATAAATTAAACGTTTAATAAAACCCTACCAAGTAAAAGGTATCTAATGAAGTTCTGACAGCTTCTCTATCTGAAAATGGTAAAACCTAAGAAGCAAGGAAATTTGTGGAGTTAGTCTAAGGTGGTTGGATCAAAATTAATCTGGCAAAAGGAAAATAAAAAAAAGGAGAAAAAAATCAATAGTCTTGCTAATGAGAATCAACATTTATCTTGCAGGAAACCTGAAGTTTTGCCTTCTGATTCTGAACCAGCCTTTAAACAAAGGTCATTTCCATTGTCTGTGGAGCAAAGGTAATAATAACTTACATACATCTTCATTTGCTTATTTACTTAGCTACTACCTGGCTAATGTACTTCATGTCTGTTGAATTGCAGTGTGGCAATTTCCCCTCTGCTAGAGCAACCTTCTGATGAGGGCGTAAATTGGCAGAATATGTCCCTTGTTGCTGAATGCAGCAAATAGGCTGATTATGCAAATTTTGCATCTCTGCATTGCATACGTCAGTGGGAAGTTTATGGACTGATCTATATAAGACCAGCTTTTCATAGGCAGCTTAGGAGCGATCATTGTTTTGCTGACAAAGTGCAGCAGATCAATGGTGCATTTAAGAGTCTGGAAGCAAGCATTCCTTTAAAGGTCATAAGTGAAATGTTTTAATTTTAATCAAAATAAAATGAACCGTGTAGATATTAAGTTGTGGAAGCGGTGGGAATTTGCGTACTTGTCAGAAATATGCAAATCAGATTTCACTACCCCTTTGTTAAATATGCACAGTGCTAATCATCATCTCTGATATGATAGCTTCAGATTTACTGACATTTTGTGGAGATATGTAAATCTCTACAAGCTTGGAACTATTAATTCCTCCAGTGCAGGAATGTAGTCCTTCAGAAGCTTTCTGAAAAGCCACAGGAACTGTCTCCAACTTGTTACCAGGATGTGAACCTTGCAGAGATTCCTCTTAACTGACTGAGGAAGATAGAGCTATTTGATTTCTCCATAGGCATAAGGACAGGCAGGGGGTAGCTGTGCAGTTGAAAGGAATTGGAGTAAGTGGCAGGATGCATTTGTATCACTTAATTCCAGTAAACACAAATTAGGTGCCTATATAACCAGACAAGTGAGAAAAAAAGGGAGAGAGCTGCACTAGATGATTCAAAGCATCTGAAGAAGTGCTGTACCCCGAATGGGCTCGCTTTCATTTGCATAATCAGCAAGAAAGGGAAGTGGAAGGGCTGTCAAGTTATTTTATAGATGTGATTCTACTTATTTTTGCATTTAAAAAGATACACTGAGAGACCTGTTCTATTTTAAGTAATGAAGGAAAGAAGGTGAAATATTTTGATCTTATTTCTTTGTCCCACCTTTCCTGTTTTGAGGGTTGAGGTTAAAAAAAGAGACAGCAAATCAGACATGCACAGTTAATGGCAGTATTTGGTGTGTTGTAGTACCTTGCATGTGTTTGTGCTGTGTTCTGTTAATCAGACTATGTTTTTGTCTGTCCTTTAGAATTTTAAGTCTTCCTCTTTTGATCTAACCTTCCGGCATGGAGTGCTTCTAACTGTTAACACTAATGGTCTCTTAACTGTAGTTCTTCTGTAAAGGCTTGGGATAAGAAGCTGAATAAAATCGAGTAGACCTAAGACTGCTTTGTGTGAAACTACCTCAATGGGTTCCTGTTTTCTGAGCATAATTGCATGTACACTGATTATTGGTGCTGTGAATAGTGTCCCAAAGAGTTTGTGAGACTTAGGAGCAGAAGTCCTATTTAAGCTAATAAGACTTCTGCTGGTAGATTACTTTCGGAAATAGGTGGATATTTTCTATCTAAGTAAAATGGCAGGAAGGTGGTGACATAGTGGACCTGAAATGTTTTTCTTCAAAACATCTTCAGTAAACCTTAGTGAATTCAGGACAAGGGTTTGGCAATACTGGGCTTACAATTCTAGTGGACTGCTGTAGATATCAGCAGTCTTCTGGATCCTACTTCTGAAAGAGTTTCAGCACAGAGACTGTTGCAGGACTAGGAGAACCTGGGGAGTTTGGTATGGAAACTGAAAGAATTTCTGAAAGAATGAAACATCCTTAGAAACTGTGCTTAATGACCAACTGTATATGTTTGAGATCTCATAAATGAGTGATGAGAAGGAAAAAATGGGGCAGTTAATCCAAAAAATATTGCAAGCTACACAAATTAAGGGGAAAAGGGAGAGAAAAATAGAAAGGAAGAAAAAGAAGATAAAATATATTGTCCATCTTCTCTGAGCTACAGCAATCTTGGGTGTTACACTGAGTACAGAATGTGTTATTTTCAAGTAGATTGTGTCCTGCCAAAATAATTCATTTCATTAGCCTTGTCAGTTTAGCGTCAAGTAAAATTGAAGGTGTGATTGATATGTCCTGAGTTTGAAAAAAAATCACATTGATAACTGTGGCTATTCTAGGCTGAAATCATCCCAGGTGTAACTCCTCTTGACCTCAAGAAGAAGTGGTTGCAGCTAATTAGCCTTTGTCTTATTACAGACTTGTGAGAAATCTATTTTTACTGACATACTTTTGAAAATAAGTATTTCAGTCTGTACAAGTTTGCATGAACTTCCTTCCCTGTGCTTTGTGAAGGACATTGATCAGTTTTCATCACTTCCAGAGGACATCTTTCACCACTCTTACCATACAAGCAGGGTAAGTGAAAATAGCGAGTTAGTACAAGTTAAAGACTATATGATTTTAGTTTATTTTATTCACTTTATTCACTATGTAGTAAATCAATCTAGAACATGTTCCCTTTGTGTTAGGTACAGTCATGCAATATTAGTGCTGTCCCAAAGGATGAAATTTCAGGATGAAATGTGGGAGAAGGGGTAGTTTTTCAAAGCAGGGTGAAGAATAACATGACAGAAAACACTGATTGTTCCCTTAGGGATTTATTGGGTTGGGTATAGTGAGAAGGGGCAAAGCAAGTGGCAAGCAAAATTGAAGGGAATAGGTCAGTAAAGGGGAATAGGTAAGGGAAAAAGCTCTCACAGTAAGGGAAGCTGATATAAGGAGACTGAATATGGAAAAATGAGGTGGATGCAGAGGGTTAGAAGTAGGCTATGAGTAAGCATAAGGCTGGGAGCATCAGTCAAATCCATCAAAAGTGCTTTGACTGTAGCTGCTAATGCAGTGATTTTTACCTGAGGAAGTTGTATGGATTCCTTTGCAATCTTGATCCTAATTGTGGAAAATATATGGAAGAGTCAAGGTCCTGCTTTCCTCAGAGCTGCACATTTTTCTGTCTGTGAAGTCTCTGAAAAACTGAATCCAGTATGGCCTTACCTTAACAACACCCTTACACTTTCTAAATTCCTGCTTATGTGAATTTTCTAGTCTCTAAGGCTACTTTGCAAGTGGTTTCACATGTAAATATATCTTTAACAGAAATTACTCTGAATCTAAAGTCTAAAGCTGTCTTTATGTTAAGTTTGAAAACTACAGAAGCCCAGGCTTTAGTGGCTGAAAACAGAATGGGCTTTCTGGAGAGTTAAATGAAAGTTCCTGAGGCTTTGATTCTGCTCTTTAAAATCTCATTAATCAGAAATGCAATGACTTACTTATGCCAAGAATTTCACCAATGTCTAGTGATTGCAAGTGCTTCTGTTTTTTTGATGTCTCCCTAGGGAAGAGGCAGAATTATTGCAGTGCTGAGAAATTACCTCTGTAAAATTGTCTCAAGTTCAGGACTTGAAAGTTGTTTCCTGTTTCTGAAAACATTGTCCCTACAAGCTACTCAAATGATCCAGAATTGTCTTCATGTCCTCACTTGATGGTAGGATGTTAAATGACTGTACATTGTAGAGTACTTTCCTTTCTTAAATGTTGACAGTTACAGCTTTAAAGAGCAAGGAATTATGCTTTGAAAAATAAGATTATTATTTCAAGAATCAGAGTAAAATGGCAACACTCTACAGCAATCTGATGAAGTTGTGCTTTACAGTAAGAAAATGGGTCCATGGATATTTTTCAGTTCTTTCAATGGTTGTGATACATTGGCCACTGTGTCTTCCTCAAGAGGATTGTGATCTTTTTCTGCAAATAAAGATGTTCCATGAAAGCTTTTAATCAAACAGAACATGCTGAAGTAGTTTAAATATTAGCCATTTATACTACCAAATGCCCTTGGCTGATGTACTATACTAAACTACCAATATCCTTTTGGAACAGGCTGACTGAATCCTGATGAGGATAAGTAGATAGTAGATGTTGGATAAGTAGATGAGAAGGAGACATCTGTGAAACCAGACTGCAAAAATATGTGCCCTTCAGATGTACATTGCTAAAAAGTCCCTTTCATGGACCCTTCTTTTCAAGGAAGGAAGTCGGGGTCTAGCTATGTTTTCGTATGCTGCCCTACTGACAGCACCAACAGCCACTTCTCTATATGCATAGTATATAGTCATTTTATGACACTTTGTAGATTGTGATCATGGAGGAATTCCAGAAAGAGGAATGTTGCCCACCCTGGAGATTTCAGCTCTATATTTTAGGGGGGAGAATCTGGGTTAACAGAATGCATCCTTCTACACTACAGCAGCAGTGTAATAACTCAAATTCAAACTCTGTTAAATTGTCTTCATGTAAACTGTATTTCTTTACACTACTTCTGTTGTGATTGCTTATCCATAAATCGAGGTTTTTTGCAAGTTTCCATCTCTATCAATACCCATATTGCAACAAAGTGTCTAGTGGATTTTGAATTGTATCTTGAATGTGAGGCAAATTTCCTATCAAGGTCAGCCTACTGTGTGGTGAAAATGCTGCTAATGAATGGATGGTTAGCACCTGAAGGTGACTTGCACTGCAAAATATCTCCTCTTATGAGTAATCAAGTTGGGAAAGGTGCTAATTTCAAAATCATCTCTCTTTGAATGCCACCTGCTCCCATGCATTTTATGTTCCATATGCTTTTGTCTGCAGTCTAATTGATGACTGATATTTTGAATGTCTTCTGTTGAGGTCCAAGAGCTGTATGTAAAGGTAAATATGATACAAGTGGTGATATAAAGCTCAGGAAGATATATAGAGGGGATAGTAACAGATTACTTGGAACAGTTTTATTTTCTCAGAGCAGAGAAAAGGATATTGTAGTTTAATAACAGGAGGAAAATAACCTGACTTTCCCTGGTGCTATTTTTTCTTGTCCATAATTGATACCTTTTCCTCCATTGTCTTTAGTGGTTGAACTCACCTGCACTTCTGGAATTATTGGTATGTACAGCCATTCACTTGCCCTTTTACCTATCATCAACGAACTTGCCTTGTTGGCATATGGTGAGCTTTTTTCTCACCTTTTATTTTCATTTCTAGCTGAACTTACTTGTAGTATATCTCAAATTTGTACTGGACCCAGAACTGGCAGCTGGCATAAAACTTAAGGGAATTCGGAGCAGCTAGTATTAATAAATAGGAAAATGTTCATAAAAATGGTGATTGGGATGTCACATGGACTGGTATGCTTTATTGCACTTTCCAGCAGGCATCCAGACTAGCAGTAATTCTTACTGTGGGCCTCAGCAAAACTATTCTGTTCTTCCCTGAGAACAGAGGGACTATGTTCTATTAGATTCTGGATATGTCAAAATGAAGTTCATTTTTTCCACATTTGAATCAAAACACGAATATAATTTTTAGTTTGTATTCAGTAACTTAAATTAGCTGTTCTGTGCCACTCAATTTAGATTTTAAACAGCATTTTGTTGTGGTGGTGTGCCTGTTGTTGGACTGCACACAGTGAGTTAAGGTCCTTCAACCACAAGAGTCTGAGAGAAGTTGTTTAAAGTGCTCTTAAGGGTAGGGAATCTATGATTTAAGAATATGAAAATCTGACCCTTTCTAGGGCTAGCTAGCCCCGTGCTTTAAGCTTGGAAATGAATCACAGAATCATTTAGGTTGAAAAATACCTCCGAGATTATTGAGTCTAACCTTTGACCAATCACCACCTCGTCAACTAGACCATGGCACTAAGTGCTACATCCCATCATTTCTGAAACACCTCCAGGGACAGTGACTCCGCCACCTCCCTGGGCAGTCCATTCCGATGCTTAACAACCCTTTCCATGAAGAAATTCCTCCTCATGTCCAACCTGAACCTCCCCTGGTGCAGCTTGAAGCTATGTCCTCTTATCCGGTCACTTGTTACCTGGGAGAAGAGACCAACGCCCACCTGGCTACAACCTCCTGTGAGGTAGAGAGTGATAAGGTCTCCCCTGAACCTCCTTTTCTTCCAGCTAAACAACCACATCTCCCTCAGCTGCTTCTCATATGACCCTCCAGACCCTTCACCAGCTTCGTCGCCCTTCTCTGGACATGCTCCAGCATCTCAATGTCTTTCTTGAAGTGAAGGGCCCAGAGCTGGACACAGTACTCAAGGTGCAAAGCAGTATCTGGATCTTAGTACATGCGGTAGTTTGCATTCGCAGGGATTTTGGGAAGAGAGTTTTTCTAGACTACGCTTTGCCTATGACTCAGTGTATAAGCTTGATGTCTACCAGATTTTCATTGTTGAACTGGAAGCTTTATATTTATCTTCATAAAACTAAGCTTAAAACTCCGGAAATATGGTAAATTTTGCTATTGGTGAGTGTATATTGTTAGTGTGTGTCTGGTTCAGAATTGGGGCTCTTGAGAAACGTAGCCTGGGTATGTGAACCTAGGAATTTGCAAAAGTGAGTCTCATTGATTTTTGTGAATTTTTAGATAGTTACTAGCAAAGCTGAGAACAGAGCTGATCTTCCAGGTCTTTTGGATAGTTCAAGTTTACTCACCATAGTAGAAACTGTGATAGAATGAGGCCTTTGGATAAAATTTGAGACATACTGGGCTATTTTTTTTGTTGGTGGTGATTTTAATTTTCTGCAAATCCAGCAACAGGAAATTCTGAGATCTAAAAGGATTTTTTGTTTGTTTAATGGATCTGAGATTTTTTTGAAAAATTAAATAAAAAAGAGTAATTAAGATTCCCCTCTGTGATGCTTTGAAAAGCTAAACCCCGCTGAGCTGAAGTTCAGAGTAACAGAACAATAGAGAATTACTTTGAAGTACCAGTGAGAAGCATAGCAGATGATTACAGCACAAGAAAAAAATGGGAGGTTATTAAAGTGCTTTTTCTATGAAGCCAGGATGCAAATCCCATTAGGGGAGTGCTGTTGTCACAAGATTTGCTCTGTAGATGCCTTTGATAGCATCGTGTTATATATCAGGTTACCATGATGTTTCCCAGAGGACTATTGAAAGAAGGAGCTTTGGAAAATATTGTCAGGAGAGTGCTTTGGAGCACCCCAAGCAGAAAGAGAAGCATAAGGCAATAGAAAAAAAAAAGATTCATAGCTCATTTTGTTAGTATTCAACAAGAAAAATGGTACTGGGAATGAACCCAAGGATCAGGGGTGAATGCATGAGGTTAGCATAAGTAAGACTTGTGACAGAAAAGAGCAGGTTCTTAATCCCATAAAAGGAACACTTGGATTTTCACTGCCTCAAGCTACACAGTGAAAAGCATTTAAAAAGATTGTTTCTCTGGGAGTTACTACAGGGCAAAAGTATTGTTTTCGTAGCTATAGCTTAACATGAATCCACTACAAGGGTAAAATGTAAGGTCTTGTAAAAGATGGCTGTTATTTAGAGTTGCTGGTGTCAGGGTCTTCTCACTGGCTATGATGGCCTTTGGATCAAACCGTTGTGTTATAGTCTTCCTTTTTCTCTTATTCCAAGGTTGCCTTAGGGCAGAAAAACTGTTTTTATTAAAAAAAAAAAGTTAAAATAAAAAAACCAAATAAACAAAACAAACAAACAAACAAACAAAACAACCAAGCAAAACCAAAACCAAATAAACTAAACAAAAACAAACAAAACACAAACCCAAAAACAAACAAACAAAAAACCAAAACCACCAAGAAGCCCATACTGGTATAAATGTCTCACCTTGGTTTTCAAATCGTGATTACTTTTAAAAAGTGCATCTTCTCTTTTTAATTTGCCTAAATCTGGTTATATTTCCAGATTTTGAATTTTAAAAGTTTTGATTACTTTATTACCATGGTTGTAAGAATAACTAACTCAGGCAGAGAACAGTCTAACTCTTCTGTAATATGTCGAGACTATGCTAGTATTTATTAGCTACTTGACTGATGGAGTGTAAATCCTTCACTGTGTTCAGGGCCTGAAGTCACATCAGTAGTTTGAGATTGTGGATGTTGGATTGCTGGTATTCACATCTGAATGGTTTACAGACTGTCTTGCACTCACCCATATTATCAAGTATTAAAATTGAACTTTAAATTCATATAAGTAGAAAATAGCTAATTTTTCTGCTCTACTCATTATCTCTGCTCTTTTGTACAGGTAGGCTGTTTTGTTAGATTTCAGCATTATATAAATGTGTTACTAAAAAGAGTACGTGCATTTGCATTTTGAAAACAACATAGTGAGATTATTTTTTTTAATGTGTAACTGGTTAGATTTAGGCAAAAAATTAGCACATAGAAGTGGAACAAGTATTGTGGCTATTAACACTCTTTTTTCTCACAATTCTTTATTTAATACACTGAGGAGACGAGGGTGATGTACTTCAGCCTGTCTTTGCTTTCATTGACAGTGAATTACACTGGAACAGAAATTAAAAAATTGTCATATATTTCTCATTGTGGAAAATTCCATTGACCTCAGAAATAATGGGGGCAACCTATAATTTTTAGGGGTGTTTTACTATCATCTTCCATTGTTGGAAGGTTTATGACTAGCAGCCTGATGTAGAAGCTCTTGATATCAATA